CCTAAGTGTTTTCCCTGCCGCAGCACCCTGGGGACAGGACGGATGAAGGTGGGGACGTGAATTATCACTGGCGCCAAGCTTTGTAGAGCACCCCCCGAAGAGGGAGCGCCAGCCGGGATGGGGAGCTGAGCGCACCCTTGGCTCCGTGTCCCGCCGTCTGCCTGCCAGATGAAATACCTGGCAGCTGGCAAATGGAGGTGCTGCTGCGATTTACGGCCCGGCGAGGCTTGCGCGCCTCCCCGCCGCCTGAAGCCAGACGGTAATTTGCCCCGCCGGTGCTATCGGGGGGACGCGGACGTGACGCGGCCTCTCCACTTTTCAGCACGTGCCAGTTTCTTCAGAGGGGAGAAGCTTGCGACTCCGAGCCAGCCAGGCTTGGGTTACAGCTAATTAGCTGCGTTTTTTTGCAGCAGCAAAGCCAAACAAGCTCCATGCAGGTGCTTGGGAAGGACTGTCCCAGCCAAGCACCGGTGGAGCATGAGGTCATTGGCACAGGGGCTTTCGGGGTGCAGAGCAAAGAGGTGGAAGCTGGACCGGTTCAGTGGGACCCCCAAAGCTTCAAGACAGAGCAGAGTTATGGTGAGATGGAGGAAAAACAAGAAAAAAAACTAAAGGGGATTTTTTTAGCTGTCAAAGATTCCACAGCCCCTTCCCAGCTTCCAGATGTGGACATCCACCCCGGCACCATCTGGGCACATGGTTCGATCCCAGCTCTCTCAGCCGAGCGCGTGACCAGCTCATCCCATCCTCGGGAAGAGGAAGGCAGCCGTGACTCAAAAGAGCCGGAGGAGAGGAAACCCTCATGACTGTTTGTTTTTTTGCTTTTTTCCCCACGTGGCAACTCACCATGGGAGCGGCGATGACCAGCATCACGCAGCACGTGGTGGCCCTGCCGCCAGTGTAGTCAGAGATGAGGCCAGCAAAGATCCCCCCTGCAAGAAGGAGTCGCGGGCATCGGTCACGCTGCCCCAGCAGCAAATTTCACCCTGGCATAACCCAGAATCCAACATGATGCCACACTGTGATGCTTTTTCATCCCCCATCTTTTCAATCAGATGCCCCCAAGGTTAAATATAATATCAGAGCGAAGAGTTTTGTTTATCCCTGCTGCTTTCTCCCTGCAGATGGTTTCCCTACACCTGCATGCAGCTCTGGTTCCCCCCCATCCTTCCAAAATGTTTTATTTCTCCAAGAAAAAGGAGAGCCTGAGCAAATGAGCCCCAAGGAAAGGTGTTGCGATGGTTGCCTGGATGGCAAAATAAAAGCAAGGTGCATTTCCTGCTTTCTGAGCACTACAGATGCCGAATAAACCTTGCTGTGGTGCTCCGGGGAAAGGGACGGTGTTACTGACAAAGCGCTCCTGGGGAGGGGACTTTCCATCAAAGGCAGGATTGTCCCCAAATCATCCCTGATCCACCCCCTCTGCTGGGCTACGTGACGAACCTAAAATGCCCCCGACGTCAAAGAGGGTCGACAGGTCCCCGGCTTCCTTGGCACCGAAATGAGCTGTGGGGAGAGGAGAGGGGTGAGGAGATGCTCCCCCTTGGCGGGCTCGCTCCCACCTCGCCGTCGTCCAAAACTCACCAACGTTCACGATGTAGAGGGGCAGCCAGTACAGGAAGGTGTAGCTCACCAGCTTGGCAAACAGCAGGCAAAGGGAGAACTCCACCACACCCTGGGGAGAGAGGAGAAGACATCAGAGGAGCCCAACCTCCTCTGGATGGTGGTTTTCTGCCCTGTAGGCACCAGGTTGACGGGGTGAGCTGCCCTGGCTTTGCTCTTCCCCCCCTCCCTGTCACAACGAAAGAGCTGTCTCATGACTCACGGGTATCCGGAGGGCCCCGAGGAAGCTGATGGCTTCGGGCTCCTCGGCTGGCTCCTTGGGGCTGTCAGAGCAATCCGTGCTGCTCTGCCCTGAGATGCTCAGTGGCCCCTCATTGGAGGTGACTGCCTCGGGATCCTTCTCATTGGTGGTCACTCCTCTAGCGTCCTCCTCATCAGAGGCCATCTAAAAGCAAACCAAAAGCAGGAGACGTGGCTCTCGTTGCTGGAAGGGGCTGAATTGTCAGATTCGCTGCCGAGATGTGACCCGGAGGATGCTCACATTGGAACAGCAACAAGCATCCTCTGAGATAACTGAACATCACTCTAATGTCTGATGTTACACCCGCCACCCCAGTTGTTTTGCTGTAAATGGAGCAACTACCCAGCCCAGGACAAGCCCTGGGAATCAGTTCAACTCACGTGATGCAGAGGTGGGCTGCAGCCGACGTCCTCAGGATCTGCAGGGAGAAGGGAAATCCTGTGAGAGCTGGGACCAGCCCCCCTCCGCCTGCTCTCCCTCCAGCATCTACAGGGGAGAAACGTGGGGCTGGGAGACCCACAGAATCATCTCGGTTGGAAAAGTCCTTGAAGCTCCTCCAGTCCAACAATGAACCTCACTCTGACTGTTCCCAACTCCACCAGATCCCTCAGCGCTGGCTCAGCCCGACTCTTCAACCCCTCCAGGGATCCCGGGGACTCCCCCCCTGCCCTGGGCAGCCCATTCCAACGCCCAACAGCCCCTTCTGCACAGAAATCCTTCCTCAGAGCCAGCCTGACCCTGCCCTGGGCAGCTTGAGGCCATTCCCTCGGGGCCTGGTGCTGGCTCCTTGGTCCAGAGACTCATCCCCCCTCTCTGCCCCCTCCTGGCAGGGAGTTGCAGAGGGCCAGGAGGTCTCCCCTCAGCCTCCTCTTCTCCAGACTGAACCCCCCCAGTTCACCCAGCCGCTCCCCAGCAGACCTGTGCTCCAGACCCTGCTCCAGCTCTGTTGCCCTTCTCTGGACACACTCAAAAACCCCCAGGGTTGGGCTGCATCTCTGTGTACCCACTTCCTGGCAGCAAAAACCCCTAGTAAAATCCCAAAGCACTTCCCAGATGTTTCTTAGAAAGACAGGTTGAGGAGTGACTGGCACAGGCTGCCTGGATGGCCCCGCGGTGGTGAGCTCCACATCCCACAAGCTGGAAATAAGTGTTTGGAGTTGCCAAAAATGCTTGGAGATGGGCAAAGAGAAAAATTCCGGCTTGTGGCCCAACTGATCCTGGCATTACACTGTGCTCTGGCTCACGGCACTCACACTCCACGAGGAAGAAGAAGCAGATGATGCCCATGACAGCGATGATGATGCCAGGCACGACGAAGGACAGGCCCCAGGCGGAGGAAACCCAGACGCCGGCGATGAGTGACCCTAAGATGTTGCCGACGGAGGTGTGGGAATTCCAGATGCCCATGATCAAACCTCTCCTGGCAGGGACAGATCCGGGCTCGATATCACCACAGTGGCTGCTAAGCCCAACAGGGAGCAGGACCGGGGCAGGACACAGTGGCAAAAACTTACTTTCCCTTCCCAAACCAGTTCCCGACGCAGGCCACGACAGAGGGCCAGCCGGTCGTCTGCACCAGCCCATTGCAAACCTGGCAAGAGACGGGCAACATCACCCAGCGCTCTCGGGCACCTGGCAAGCACCGGCCTTATCCATAGCCCCTGCGCCGTTTCAGGCAACTGGCTTCAAAAATAGCCACCCCCAGCCCAAAGCTGTCCAGAAAACACTCAGTTTGGGTTGTTGTTTTTTTGGGTTTTTTTCCAGCTGGGGCAATCCCCGAGCTGTTCCCCTTGGCTAAATCGGGAGTGAGCAGTGTTGCCAAACCGGCCACCTCTGCTTAGTGAGATGGGCGTGCCCGGTGGTTTCGGCACCCACGCCACATGCAACCGGGTTTTGTGGGGAGTGGAAATGCACAGCGTTCTCCCGCTCGGAATCTGGGCCAGCATCCCCATCCCCAAAAGCCACCAAAAAAACAGGATGAGGCCGTGGCAATAAAAATCCAGAGCCTGGGCACCCTCCAGCACCGACACACCTGCATCACGATGAAGTACCAGAGGACATGGATGTCCCAGAAGTAGCCGAGGCCGAAGAGTGCGGTGAAGAGCCCACTCAGCACCATCCCCCCCGACAGGTAGTAGCGCAGGGGGAGGCGCTCCCCAAAAATGCCGCTGCGGAGAGAGGGAAGAGCGAGGAGAGCTGTCACGGTTGATGCCACCGACGGGCGTTTTCACACCGAGCTGCTGCCCAGATCCCGAGCAGCTCCCAGCGCCTGGCTGCTTTCCCGTGAGCATGATCCCAACCTGATGGAAACCAGTTTCCTGGTGGACTGGTGCAAACTGGTGTTGAGGGAAAGAGAGGGGTGCAAAGGACCTGAGTACCTGATAAACATCCCGATGGCGTAAGCCACCAGGAAGGCGTTATCCAGCGCCCCAAAAAGCTCCTTGTAGTTGTCCCCATCTGGAAAAGCAATATTAGACTCACGTCAGCTTGGCTCCCTTCTTATTTTCCCTCCCTGTGGCTGCTTGTCTTCATCCCTGTCCCCAAAACCTTCCTCTGCGGGTTCTTGGAGTGTGGCGTTGGGACCTGGTCCCATCCCAGCCCGTTTTGCCACCCATTGCTGCCCTTTGGCCTGGGGGCATGGGGCAGATGCGCACCGCTTAATTACCTCCGGGTGCCTAATGAGCAGCTGGCCCCCTGCCAAGATCTCAAGCCATGACCTGGCTTAGGACATGGGGGGGGAGCCTGTCTTGTCTGCCATGAGTTTTGGGGGTGATGGGGGGGGTGGTGTCAGCCTTACCGAAGGGTGCCCAGCTGCACCACGTGCTGCTGTTGGAGTCATTACGGGGGTTTGGGCCCAAGGCCGAGCAATTGGGGTGCAGCTGGCTCTGCAGGGAGAGAGAAGGGGTGACATCAGGATGCCCTGTCCCCCCCCATGTCCCCTCTCCCCACCACCGGGGCAAGGCTGGAGCTAACCTTGACAATGCTGATGGGTTTTCGGGAGAGGTGGTAGCTCGTGTAGCAGAGGAAGGTCAGCACCAGTGTCAGGCCCCGATACCTGCAGGGTGACAGGAGCGGAGAGGTCAGGGCTGGGTGGCCTGTCCCCATCGCAGCTGGCACCACCCAGCCCAGCGGGGGTGTCTCTGATACCTCCAGCCCCAGGGTTAGCTATGCCTTTCCTTCCCCTCCCCAAAATTCATGGCTTTTTGAGAACAATATCAGGTAAGGGGGATAAGAACCACCACTGGGCCAGGCTGAATCCGCATGCCATTTCTGAACATGCACAGACAGCTCTGCCGCTGTTTAACCCATCAGGGTCTTAGGAAAGGGGAGTAACGGGGTCATTTCTGCTTCTTTCCCTCACCAAGTTCCCCCTCCTTCCACCAGATGGGTGAGCTGAACCGGCTCAGCCGAGCCTGGCAGGGGTCAACCGGCCCACCCAAAATGGCCAAGGAGGCGACTTAAAAGGATCAGCTGAGCTTTGGGAGAAGGGAGCACCGATCGGTGTTTCCCCCTCCTTGAAACCGCGGGCTGAGCAAGCGCCTTCCACATGTCACGGGTGGAAACAGGGCACGAGATCGCAGCTGATTCAGCATCGTTAAAGGCAAACTGGAAAAAAAAAGGGGGGGGATGCCCCGAGCAACACCCGCTCCAGTTTCTCCATCTGCTACTGACTTTATTGCTTTTGCTTTAATTAAATGCAAGAAAATGGGGGAAAATAGGGGAAAAAAATGGGGCTTAGGCTTAGGGGTGGGGATGCTGCTCCCAGCAAAGCTGATGGATAAAGCCTGGAGAATCCTAAATAGGATCCAGCTCCCTCCGGAGCGGGATGAGCATCTTTGAGGGGCCCTATCCTGCACCCAGGGAAGATGGTGCAGAGGGGTTTGTGGCAGTGCAGAGGATGTGAGCAGTCAGGTGGCTGCGGCACAGTGAAGTGTCCCGAGGTTACTTCAAGTTTAGAAAGAAGGAGGAGGAAAAAAAAAACCCGCCACTTTTTTTTTTTTTTTAAATTTCCTTTTCCTTCTGTTTTAGCCCGTCCTGCTCCTCTTTGCAGTTTCACTTCTTTGCAAAAAACTGCAGCAGTGACAGACACCCTGCAAATACCAGGGCAGCTCTTTGTTCCAGGGCACTGACTCCGAGACTGCACCTCAGCTAAAAAATTCCTGGTTCCCACCCCAAAAAAATACCTAAACACACCCCCCACATCCCCCCCCCCCAAAAAAAAAAAAA